TTCCCTTAGGCAAGTTCGGTCCTTTCGCCTAGTCGCGTAGACGAGTTACAAATATTCGGCGCACACGTGAAAAAATGTGAGTTTATTTAACTTTAATGGTTATTTATTATTAGAACACGAATGTTGACTAACTCTTTTACGTGCTATCGAATTACTCATACATTTATATATCTCTTCACTATTCTATACTATTCTAGAAATTCCCACCTAAATTTCCTCGCCGTTTGTGATAATAGGATGACGTATCGTTGTATCGCACTCACACCTGTGCAACATTTACCTATGGAGAAATATTATTATATTACGAATTAAAATAAAACATAATTATGCGAATTTTTTAAGAATATATCAATTTTCAGTAGACTATAAATAAAAATTTTCTATTACAAATTTAAACCTTTAGTTTTTACCGGAAATTGTGACAACGTAATGGTTTCTGTATTAAAATGAGATCGAGGAAATTAAATGTTCGTCCTAATTTGGCATTAATGTGCTTACTCATGCAGTAGCCTCATGAATATTATTATAAGTTGCGACGTAATCATGTGATCGTTTCGCGACTCGTTAGAGACGAGGGATTATTATGAATATAATTAATTGTATACTTTCTATGGTAATCGCAAACTGGCAGATATAACAAGCTATCAATTGTATTGATAGAGAGAATAATATAAAATAGAGAACGGTGTAGATTGCTTTATTTCAATATAAAATCAACCTAATTAACTAAATTCTTTTTTTGCTTATTATTATTATTGTTCTAAATACAACAAAATTTAATTCTTTAAATATATCATTCTCATGATATGCAGCAATGTTATTATCTGATGTTATGATAAAATTTCTATGGATTTATAAGAAGTTAACTTGAAAAAAACAATAATATATACAGTCTCTTCCAATAAATGAGGATTGCTTAAGAATTATTATAATTAAATAGAAATAGTTGTCATATATTTAACTTTTTATTTTATTAATAAAAATAATTTTTAAATATTAAATAAACTTATTTCTCATAATTAATTTTATATATAGTAAAAATTTTATTAAATTTGAACAAACTTTTATTATTACATTTAATGCTTTTTTTTTGAACAAAATTTTTTTAATTTTTTTATTAAAACTTTGACATTCACACAATTTTTATAACTACTGTTTTAACAAACAATTTAATATTAATTAATAAATTTTGTTTGGCATATATTAAAATATTTAAATATTAAGTTTTATAAATTTTTACTTGATATTTAAATTTTTATTTAATAAAATATACAATTTTTAAATAACAAATTATTAAAAATTATTATTATTATTGCCTCTAATCAGATTGCAAATGGAAGTATTTATTAATCCAATTTTTGAAGAACAGTAATATAACACATATAATATTATACTAAAGCTAAACCAATACAATTTTACAAAACATCTGTTAATGAGTTTAGATTTGTATGTGATCTTTGAATTCTTAATACTGTTATTGTCTTGGAAAAGCAAAATGAGAATTGTGCCAATTTAGACTTGCAGTGAACAAGGTGTTTCTATAAAATAAAAGAAAATAGAAACAGAATAAAAAAGAATAAAAGAAAATAATCAAAGAAATATCAAAGAAAATCAAAAGAAGATAAAATTTACAATTAAATATATTGAAACTTTCAGCTCTTCCCTTGACAGACTTTAAAATTACTGATAAAAATAATTTTCAATCCTCAATTATTTAATTTATTCAACATATGTTTTGTTTTAAACACTATTAAATAAATTAATATGAACAATTCAAAATTATTGTTTCAGTCAATTTTATAACTCTGTTCTGATATTGGAATTAAAAGATAACAATATAAAAATATTGAATTTCAATAGAAAAACAATAGAAAAATACAAAAGAAAAATGAGATAAATATAATTTTATTAAAAGAAAGACAAAGAAAATATAAAAATTTAGAATTTTATAATTATGGTAATTAATATATTTTTAATTTCAAGAATTAAATAAACATAATAAATATTTGTTTGATTACAGAAAAAAAAACAAACCAATTAATTAAATTATAATATAATTGTTAATAAAGTTTTAAAAATTGAATTAATAACAAAAAAATTTATATCACATGTATAATTTTTACTTGCTTAAACAAATGGTAAATAATTTGTTATATATAATAAATAAAAATTGTAGATGATAGTGATTAGGATAGTATTTTTTTTTAATATTTTAAATAAAAATATTAAATAAAATATTCAAATGGTTTAATTATTTTTTAAAAAACATATGCTAATAATAGAATCTTTTATTTCCAAATTAATTTTATTTGATATATGAGCTTAATTATATAATATAAGTTATATTGTCATATAATTGAATTAAATATAAATTATATTATATTGAATGATTGTTTATTAAATTATGGTATAATAAAAAATATTAGCTTAAAAAGTTTTATAACAAATTATATATTGTATTACAGTATATTGAAAGAAAAGATTAAAAACTAATTTATTTAACAAATTGATTTAACAATAAAAAAAACAATAATTAAATTATTAATTACGTAATTACAAATCAAATTTTCATAAACAATAATTTCATTTTGAAACTTAATGCTGTATCAAGAATTTAATAAAAATTCTTTTGGATTAATAACAATTATAGTTTGTAATATTATTATTATAGATTTTTATAAAAAAATGATAATTTATTTTTTAAAATATGACGTTTTTTTATAAAAAAAAAAAAATAATAATAATATAATTTGAATTTAATATTTGATGATTTTTCAAAAAATTTAAATCCTAGTTTATTATTTATAACTAATTTTGAAAAAAAACTATTTTTTTTTAAATACATTTATATCACAACTTAATAAGTATTTTTTTTAAATACATTTATATCACAATTTAATAAATATTTTTTTTGGTGAATCAATGTAATTCGTTTTAAAATTATCTAGGTTTTATCCGTAATAAAAATTTTACTCGGGTCACGCACTTGCAAAAATAAATAAATAAATAAATAAATAAAATTTCATTTAATGTTGTAAACTGTTATAATAAAAAAAACACTTTTAATGGTTAACTGGATATACAGTACTATCAAGATAATTTGATAAAGATAAAGCAGCACAAGATATTCATACCATCTATTAATTAATTATTTAACCCAATTTTGCAACCTTTTCGTTTAATATAATTGTATCTCTAGTTTTTGTTTATTTTGATCAATTTTAATAGAATTACAGATGGGAAATATAATACAGTGGTCTTTTTTTCTAAACTCATTGTATGCTAAATGTGAAAATAAAAATTTATGTATGTACCAACAAGAAACTTACCATTAAAATTCAAGACGTTTTTTGCTTAATATTATTTGGAATCAATTATCTAGCGATGTTTTAAAATTTAATGTGGTTAAACAAACGATTGCTCGAAATCGATGTTTCACTTTTCTTAGATCAATAATACGTACCGAACATTGATTCTTCAGAAATGCAGAGATTTATTTGAGCCGAATCTAAGATCAATGTATTATGTTGCTGTTAATGTATATAATAAATGTATACAAGTAAACATAATATAAATACCTGTTGTTGTGGAATAATAGGCTTTTTTTATTTCCCTTGTGTTGATGGCTTTACTAGTATACATAAAACTTTCGTGTTTTTGCGAGATAATTGGCAATTTTTGGATCATTTGATCGGCAGCTTTGAATTTTTGCGTTGTCTCACACTTTTCTTGGTCCATATCATGCCACCATCTATAAATTGTTGAATGGACCACATCAGCAGTCGGTCGTTTTTCTGGATTTGAATCCATACATTTCTTAGCCAATTCAACATAGCAATCGGGAGTTCCGGGAGCAAATTCTGGTCTTAATCCTTTGATAATATCCAATGCAAGACTCGTGTCAAATTGAAGACCGTCAAAAGGTCGATTCCCGGTTGAAATTTCTGCCATCATTACACCTAAGCTGTAAATATCAGCCGACTTTGCGTATTGTTGGCCAGACAAAATTTCTGGAGCGACGTAAGGCATAACTCCGTAAATGTGATCTTCCGAATCAGATTCACTTTCTTTTCGAGATAATCCTAGATCAGCGATATAACATTTTGTTGTTCCACCAACATACTGATTTAGCAAAACATTACCGCTGTGAAAATCATTATGAATATATCCAGCTTTATGAATTTGAGTCAAATCTTTGGTTATATCACAAAGTTGACACAATTTACTGTTCCATGTAAGCCCTTTGAAATTTGATGTTATAAAACCATGAAGGCTTCCCCTATTTGCATATTGATATACCATCAAATATTCACCGGTTGTAGGATTTTGAGTTAACCCGTATACTTCAAGAGAACTACCCTCAAATCTACATTCCATTTGATTTCTGAACTTTTGTGAAAATCAAATAAAATTCCAGCGAGTTAATAATAAGCTTATAAGGATATAATTAACAAAATCGATATTTACCTCTCTTAAAAAGTCAGAAGAATTTGTTTGAGACCCAGGTAAAGTCTTGAGTGCAACTACGCATGAATCGCTGCGTGATTGACTACCAAATTTAGATTTTCGTGCACCATCCATCCATATGGCTGAATATACGGCGCTGAATCCACCCTTTCCGATTATAGCCACACTTTTCAGCCTATCAAATGGAATCCACTCGATCACTTTTTCGTACTCGGTGGATTCAAATTGAAATTCTCTGATGCAACTATCAATGTCCTTATTTCCACTCGTCCAATCTTTTTGAGCCACCATAATCTTTGGATCACATGACTGACACCAGGTTTGCGAAGTGTTGTATCGTCTACACCGTGCACATCTTCCAAATTCACGATTTCTCATAAAATCAATTGCGTCGTATATAACCATGAATTGATTTGTCTCCGTATCTTGAGTTATTCCATAGAGTTTGACGATTTTCGATTTTGCGTAATTGTTAATCTTGTAAAAGTTCAGCGCATTAGTATTATGCATAAGGAAGATATAGCGGATAGGATTTCAACCTACCTCTTCAGTGAATTCCCGCGAATTTGGTTGTGAACTGTGCAATGCCTTGAGTTCTACGGTGCATGGCATGCGTGATTTTATAAAAGTTGAGGGAGGGGTTTCTTCATACGTTCGTATTCCATCTAACCATGTTGCCGAAAATATGACTTCAGGTCCCACACCCTCAATTCTTTGTATATTATTTAGCCTATTAAATGGAATCCATTCAACCACTCCATAATTACTTGTGGATTTAAGTTGAAGTTCTCTGATGAAATCATCAATGTCTGCATTTCCACTTTTCCATCTTTGAACTACGATACTAGGATCACATGACTGACACCATGCTTCTGAAGAATTGCTTCGTCCACATTGCGCGCATTCTCCAAATAAGCTCGATCTGAAATAACCAAATTCATCAAATACAATCATATACTGGTTTGTCTCCTTGTTTTGGGTAACCCCGTATATGTGAGGTTTATCATTCACTAATTCTAATAGGTTTTTGAGCTGAGAAAATAAATAAATCGTATATACAGTATTATTAATAATATCTTAGATTATTTTTGCGGAAAGTCGGTAATTCGGAATAAAATCACCTACTTCTTTAATAAATTCCGACGTGCTCGTTTGAGAACCGCCTAATGCCTTAAGATCAACTGAACATGGTGGTGAACGTGTTCGTGGATAATCGGAACCGAAAACTTCAGGATAAGATCGCTTTCCATCTAACCAGGTCGCTAAAAATATTGAATTAGCGCCATTTTTCCTAATCACTCGCAAATTATCTAACCTATCAAATGGAATCCATTCAATTATATCACAATATCCGGTACATTTAAGTTGCAATTCTTTGATGAAAGCATCAATCTCCTTATTTCCACTCGTCCATCCTCGAGTTTCTATGAGGGGATCACACGATATACACCAGTTATAATGAGTATTGTTTCGCAAACATTGCGCACACATGCGGTGATAAGTATTTCTCATAGAACCAAATTCATCAAGCACGATCATGTACTGATTGGTTTCCATATTCTGAGTTATTCCGTGTATTATCGAATCATTATCATTATTCTCCAGATGACTTTTAAACTGAAGAATTAGACGTATTAGTGTAGTTGCATTGTTATTCTGTACATAATAAGCACATGATATAATCTCAACTTACCTCTTTTATAAATTCCAAGATACTTTTCGGAGAACCGTTAAATGCCTTGAGTTCAACTTTGCATGACAGTAAACGACTTCGTGAGTATGAATCTTCGTCACGTTTAAGTGATTTGAGTGTTCGTACTCCATCTAACCAGGTTGCTGAAAATATCGTTTCAAATTCGTCTTTTCTAATCATTTGTACATTATTTAGTCTATCGGAAGGGATCCATTCGATCCCTTTCTCGTAATTGTTAGAATTAAGTTGATATTCTTTGACGCAATCATCAATATCCTTATTTCCACTTGTCCATCCTTGAATCTCTATAAAAGGATCACATGATTTGCACCAGGATAAAAAGGTATTGTCTCGCTTGCAGTGTGCACATTCTCCATGAAATTTATTTCTTAAATTATAGTGCTCATCAAATATAGCCATGCACTGATTTGCTTCCGTATTTTGAGTTATCCCATATATTCTAAAATCATTATGCCCTAATACATTTTTAAGCTTATGTATATGAATGAATGAATATATTGTGTTAGACGTTAAGTTATTGTGAGTAAACTACATAACCGTGAACTCTACCTCTTTCTTAGGTTCTAATGCACCTGCGTGAATATTGTGCAAAACCATGAGTTCAACTGTATATGGTGATGTACGTGACTCCTTAGTTTGTCGTAATCCATCCAACCAGATTGCCGAACATAATGGATCGGATTTTAATCGTTTTTTTATTCGTATATTATTGAGCCTGTCAAATGGAATCCATTCAATCATGTAACTATATCCTTCATTACTAAGTTGGACGCTGTTGAGATAACCATCAATATAATCAATTCCACTTTTCCATCCCTGAGTCACTGAATATGGATCGCACGGTTGACACCAGTCTGTACAAGTGTTGGTTTGTTTGCATTGCGGACATCTTCCTGATCCAGAATATATTTTGACAATCATATATTGATTGGTCTTCGTATATTGAGTTATCCCGTACACGTGTCCTTTATAATGACTGCTGTCTAACATGATATAACTCTTAAACTTGAAAACAAAGTTATAATATTGTATTAGTATAATGTATCGATTGATTGTACACAGGCGAAAATATAATCTCTACATACTTCTCTTATAAATTCTATTGGGTCTTCTGTCTGAGAACCAGGTAATGCCTTGAACTCAACCATACGCGATGTAGGTAACTTGTCATCCTCACACCAGGTTGCCGAAAATATCGAGCCGGCGTCTCCTTCTTTAAATACCTCTACATCAACCAGCGTATCAAACGGAATCCATTTAATTTGATATTCCTTGATGCAATCATCAATATCCCTATTTCCACTCGTCCACTCCCGAGTCACTATATTAGATTCGCCAGGCTCCTGTAGCGTTGTATTTCCCACATCACATGCCATTGTACAGTATTGCACTTTGTGTAAGATGGTTTTCATGCACGCGTTAGTACCAATTACATTATCTTTAGCAAGAAATTATTAAACCGAATTTTTACCTTTTTGTATTATCACGGTATATGATTATATATATATATATATTTTCTCAAAGTATAGAAATGTGCGAATTTTCGAATTTTTTTATACATGATTCACTTATATAGGATAAACGTTGCAATCGTATCCTGTATGCCTTTAAAGGGTTGAATGGACATTTACTGTATTTATCGGCCAATAAGATTAAAGGTTAAGATAAACGGTCTTTTTAATTGTACGTATTGCACAGTGACCTGAAACTTGAAATCATTGAAGATACAATGTTTTACTGTATACTGTATGTGGTATATTTTTTATTGGGAAAGACAAAGTCGCCGATACAATATACAGTAGTATAATGGATATATAATGATAAGGGCTGTTATCTCTTGCGACGGATAATATTAAGCATAAACATCATGTCCCGTTCTGGCAGGAATGGTAAAAATGTTAAAACAGGTGTCATTAGATGATAAGCTTACGTATGTGCACACATAAGTATTTACAATAAGATCACCATCGAGAGTTGGATTGTGTAATATCGCTACAGTATGTTTCTTTTTAGTTCGATTCAAAAAAGATCATCGACTTTATTTCAAGTCCTGTCCTACGAAAAGAAATTTTTATCAATTTACAATCCGCTAAGGGGTTCATCGTTTAATAATCTGCAAATTCATTCAAAAAGGAATTTTTGGAATGTCACCTTAACATCAACACACACATCGGCGATAGGTGCTCTTGACTCGTTAATAAAATCCCACGAACAATGTGAAGTTTGTATAGTGTTTGTGTCAAAAAGTTATACCACCGAGGAAATCGAATTGATACCTGATTACCTTTATTCGAGATTGCGACCAAAATTTTTGTCCGGTTGCGTTGTCGATAAGATTTATGATGGATCAAATGTCAGTCATGGAATTTCTTTATTTCTAGGTGGTTTGGGGCATAATACTTCCGTCAGAATGGAAAATAAAAACATTAAAGAACAGTGTGGGAAGTTTAGGTATAATGGATTTATCGTTGAGGGACCAAGAAGCAAGTACAAAACAAATTCAGTTGGTAGGTGGACCAATATTGATGAATTAAAAGGCGAAATTTCGGAGATTCCAAACGGGTGGTACGACATCAGTAAATTTCGAAGTGTTTCAAGCGCACCTAAAGTTTTCAACCTGCCCAAGGAGCTAAAGGGTTTGAAAGATAATGATATCAGGTAATTCTAAATGAATTACATGCAATATTGCAAGTATAAGTCACTTCTTTAACATATGAAGCATTCTACCTTACGCTTTTTTTATGTTGATCGTCAAAGCCCCGATCTGTTTTTCTTGATATCGGATTCGGAACCATACCAATTCTTGGAATCTCTAGATTATCATTTTCCTCATAGCAAAAAGGTTGGTAAAGAAATTCGAAATATGTGATTCACTTTAGGCAAATAATAATTTTTTTTTTTTCATTATGCAGATAGGAATCGTGGGGTAAGTACCAAAAAATTAAAACTCTAATCAGGCCATGTAATACTTATTCTTTTCTTTTGCAAACGATAAATTAGCGAATCTACACCGTTTATAACAGGCCGACCATACAGTTTATTCCACAATGATAAAGTCTTATCTAAGGGAATAATGGGTGTGGCATTTACTTCCGAGACCCCAACCACATCACGTATTTTGGCCGACCACCCGTCACTATGTTCAATTGGTGACCCATTACGAATAACAAGGTATTCTGATATTAAAATAAGTTCATGCATGCATCATAATCAATAATAAAATATCAAATTATGCAAGTTGTCGAGGAAACATAATATTAGAGCTTGATGGGTTAAATCCGACAGAATTGTTACTTCGACACTTTAAATCTGACGGTGATCAGGAGAAAACCTTGATGTTATCAAAGGATACAGAATTCTATTTGGGTTTATATGGCGATGGTAATGAGAGGACTGCCCTTCACGTAGGTCAAAATTTGCTTGTTGTTCGTGTACTATTTCTTCTATTTGAATATACACTGCATATCTATTTCTATTTAGGATTCTCCAGTGGCAATTGGTAAAATTTTAAGCGGAGACCCTGCTAAAGGTAACATGGCTATTGACACAACAAAAGATTTAAAGGACGGACAATATGTCAAGGTATTGTCTACAGCATGTTATTTCTATAATCCTTTATGCTTTTTCATGTTCTAATATAGTTTTGTGTTAAGTTTATGTACAGAAAAAATCAATCAAAGAGGATATCTCTTGCTCATGGCATAGATCATAATGGCATGTGATATATCAAATTACAGTGTACATTTGTGTTTAATCAATTTATCAGTAAGATTGATTTCCTTAGCCTTCTAATTTTTACTGTATAGAGACGTGTTTTTTCTTGACAGCATCCGACAAGAATGACATGGATTTCAATGCAGCAGACGCACCTCCCGTCATTGAATTAGACGTCAAAGGTAAAAAAATCTTTGGTGCAACAAGCGGGAACGGAATAATCATTGGTAAAGGTGGTGGTGAGGATAAAAATGGTGAATCGTGGGTTTGTGACATTCCTTATTCATCTGTCAGTTTATCAACGTTGCAAAGTTTGGATGGGTCAAAGGACTTGAATTAAATAAATACAGGGATAGATACAAGTATTACTAGATAAGCAATCATGCCTCTCAAAATACTTTGATATCTCAGGAAAAACATGATATTATTATTTACTTTCATTAATATACAGTATATACAGCATACATACCGTATATAATTTTAAAATTCCATTACAGTAAAACATCATATTTTATATGTAGGGCTTGTTTTATTGTTAACGGTAGGTATCATGTTTATTTTTTAAAAAATTATTAGTACAGTATTGAACAATTAAATATCAAAATAAATCTTTAATATAATATTATATCAAGTAGATGATATCGTATTAAAAGTGATTCATAAATGTGCTTATGCCTGTTTATAAACAGCCAAATTATTATTGGAAATAATAAATTTTTGTTAATTGATTTTTGGCTTTACTGTTTGAACCTGTAAAACTAGAAAGGAAACTCTATAAATCCATATAGCGACTATTTAAAAACTATATAAAACATACGAAAAGTCTAGTATTTTTATATGCATACAATATTATTGTTGAAATAAATTATTAAAATTTGATAAATCAAGATAATAGTATCAATTATTTATTAATAAAATTTTATAGATTTAAAATAGTATAGCATTGTATATCAATAAGGAATATTTAAAAGAGTTTGATTTGAAAAAATTACAAATTCAATAATTTTAAAAATAAATTTATAGTATTACGAATTAATATTAAAATAGTTTTAAATATTACTATATATACAGTACAATATATATATAAACAAAGATAAAAAAAAAAAAACTTTTTGTATATAATTAAAAATAAACAAAATTCTTAAATTGTTTGATATTTAATTAAAGATTTTATTTTAAATTATGATTCAAAATAAAAAAAAACTACTTTAACCTATAATAAAAGCTTTTTAAAAATTTTTTTTAATAAAACAAGTTTAAAAATCTTGTTAAACTATATTATTATTGTTGTTATTGTTATTGTTATTATTAAAAACAAAAATTCTTTTTTAAAAAACATCAATTAATTCTTTTTTTTAAAAAAAATTTAATAATAAATCTAAAAAAAAGTTAATATTAAATATATTAAATAAAAATCCAGTTCTTTTTTTTAAATTTAAAAAGTTACTTCTGCTAAAATTGATATACAGTGCATTAAGAAAAAAATTGGAATTATATTTATATTTATAATTTTATAAATAATAATTTAAATTAACTAAAATTTTAAAAATGATTTTTTCAAAATATAAGAAACAAGTTTACTTATAATTATTTTTATTGATTTATTATTATTATTTGTTAAAATAAATATTTAAAGTAAAAAAAAATTTTTTTTTAAAAATTTAAAAATTTATAAATATAAATATAAATATATAATATAGTCAAAAAATAAGAATTTTAAATATCAATAAATTTTTATTTATTTGTTTTATTATAAAAAATATTATTTAAATTTCAAAAAAAAAATTTTTAATTTTTTAAAACCTAAAACATATTTATATAAAAATTTTTTTTTTTTTTTTTTTTTTTTTTTTACATAGATAAATATCATTTCTTTATTTGATTTGTATATTAAAAGTATACATCATAAAAGAAACAATATCTCTTATTTGTAAATACAGTGAGTTTAATACTAGCTTGCTTACAAAAACCAAATGACTAATATTAAAAATAAAATAATTTTAAAACAATATATCTTGTTAGTTGATACCAAACTGCTATGCATATCTACTTAATATTGAAAGAAATAAAATTAGAATAGTTTTGAATTAGTTTAGTAATACATTTGGAAAAGTTAAGATTGTTTTGAATATAGGTGTCCACGACTAAGGTAGATAGATCGATTGTTATTGTCAATTCTTGTATAGATGAAGATTTTTGTGAATTAGATTTGGAAATTATTTGATTGTCTTTAATTATGTTATTCGAAGATTTGTCTTTTCATTTTATACCATTTTGTGAAGAGGTATTGGCTGTAGCACATCGTGGTTTCTATATGATGTTATATAATTGTGTTAGAGCTTCAGTTAACACTTATGCCTAATTATTAAAGTCTGATAGGAAGAAAATACTATCAGTAATGCCGCATACTAACTTTACAACTTGCCATATATGGATTATCAGTTCTAAGTCACTATTAGGTTAAAGAATAAGGTTGGTTTGCTTGATGATTTAATTGGATTCTTCTGAAACTATTAGATATTTAAATACATGTTATATGTTTTCGGTGCGGAGTTTATATCATGGACAGTAAGGGTCTAGTGTAGATTTTCTCATATGGGAAGATTTCCTAACAAAAGCTTGATATGAAAGGTGATTAGATTATTGTATTTGTTATTTCATGCATTCTTCAGGTTTTTGTTAGATTTATTAATAATTTTGATGTCTTGAGAGCTATAAAAAGAGTTGAATGTTTTTAGTACTGATGAGCTTTCCACTATTACAGTATATATGTTTTGGTAATACTGAGGATCTTTTTGTACACTAGTCGAAATGGATTTATTCGGCATAATGCCACTCATTAATCATTCGTCAAAAAAGTATATAATTCAGCTAATCAAAATTATATAACTTTTATCTTCGGCTATAAAGCGGCGTATAATTTATTCAGCACATAAATGGTACACTT